CTGCAGGCATATGCCACCATGCCTAGCATGGCCAAGGCAGCAAAGAGGGTAGGTCATCTCCCTACTACATGATTTCTCCTGTGGCCTACAAGTATTCCTCCCATTAGATAATGAGTGGCAGCCAGATGCATAGGGAGGGTGGGGTCAGGGCATCAAGTGTGAGCAGGGCCATAGGAAGTGGTGAGGCTGGCAGTTTTTCTTTGGCTTATCAAAATTAACTGTCTCATGGGTGGGCCCATGAAGTCCATTTATTACATAAGAAACCACATCATCTTGGTGTGTTCTTGGATTCTTCCTGATTGTGGCAGTTAGGGTCTTTTCAGGGGATAGCTGCAGTGCCCAGGATGAAATCCATCTGAAGAAAGCTCAGATGAATAAGACTGAACCAGGGATATCACTTGTTTCCACTCTTCTGAAGATAGAGTAGAGCCAAGGATCACATTTACATCAGTCAGGGTAGGTTGTATGAGTTAGGTCTTAGAGATGTTGGTTAGTTTTGGAAAGGTCTGTAAAAAAGGAAAGGATCACAAAGTAACAATTTTATGTGCCCCTTGAACTTTCTGGTGTGGGAGCTGGAGTAGGGGCCAAGGTGTTGGGGCCAAACTGAAATCTAGACTGGGGTGGATATGTGGAGGAGGAGGGTCATGGAACAGATTTTGGATTACCTGGAGGCCCTACAGTCTGCTGTGTGAAACTCAGAGTAATGAAGAACCTGCTATAATAGCAGGAGGTCCTGAAGGAGGTCACAGGGATGCAGCCAGAGGGTCCAGAGTAGAGGGAGTCATTTCATTGGCAGGTTTTGGAAACTGCCAGGGAAGAGCAAGATCAGTTGAGTTTGTTATCAGAGAAATGTCTGCATATTAGGAAGAGAGTGTATATGGGAGAGAAAGAAATATTTGAGAGGGTATCCATGATGTGCACAGAATGAACATTTCATGGAGGCTAAAGGATGACTTTATGTATGATCTTCTGACCACGTTTTTAGCTGTTGGCAGAAATTGTCTAATTACCATGGAATGGAGGGATTGGGGTCCCATTTTCCGGTTATGTAGGGTTACAGAAAGATATCAAATTCTTAGGCTTCAATGTTGGAGGTAGAGACACTTCATAGTTTTTAAGAAACAGAGCAAGGAAGACGAAGGGGAATAGGATTGTTACCCATCAGGAGCAGATAAAGGTAACTTTATGCCTCCTGTGGCTAAATAAGAGAAGCACCTGGGCCTACACTGATCATGGTCAGTTGTGTTCAAGGCCATAAGGGAACAAGTGAATGGGCAAGATAGTCATCACCACAGTTGATCAGTCAACAAGCAAAGCCAGTCTCCCTGGGAAGCATCCATGACTAGTGCTATGTATAAAGGTACAGAGAAGGAGCAAACCTTTCTCAGTCCCAAGGGGTGAGAGAAGAGAGCAGATCTAGGGAGCAGTGGTCAGCATGGCAGGAGGTGGGGAGCTGCCTGTAGCACTAGAGAAAAATCCAGAATTGGTGCCAGTGGGTAGCCTCAGTGGAAAAAGGCTCAAGATCTGGAGCAGTACCCCCTCCAGAGGGATCCTTTACTAAATCCAAGTCACAGCACCAATATGTTAAGTAATGGCATGTGGGGAAATAAAAGATTTGATTCCACCAGCATACAGGCAGACTGGAATGGGAGTGACATCAGCAGCTCTCTGCAAGGTAAGCTAAGTGTATATAGGGTTTCAGGTTGGGTGTTACAGTCCCAAAGCCTTCAGATGAAATATTTGTAGTCACAACTGCAAGGACAATCAGTGCAGGTATATAGACAAAGGTGGCATCAGAAAGACTGCAGCTCCAGTCTAGATTTCTTTAGGGATCTTAATTGTTGATGTCTGAGGGAAGCCTTTTGTCAGTAGTGAGTAGCAGGACTCTCTCCTGTCAGGCCCAACACAAATATTAAAAAACGTAGGCATTTAGTGATGACCACAACTTAATCTTTAACTCCCCTCTTTCTCCAGCCATGTAGTTATTTCTGTAACTATTTTTACTTCCCTCTCTTCTCTGGTCCACTTCCTTTCTCCATTGTCTTCATGACATATACTCATAAAGGAAGAGTGCACTCTGAGAACATAATTTTAAGTGAAGTAAGACACACTATCTTAAATATTGTAGTTTTTCTTACTTCTGAAACCCAAAATATACATAATGACAAAATACAAGACCTGATAAAAAATAGGGAAATAGATGTTCCACAAAGGGTAAAGGGACCAAGGGAGGGAGGCAGATGAGAAGAAGCAGAGGGGAATGGGGTGTAAAAAGAACTAAGATATATTATTTTTATGGTTTGTGCCTAGGTGTCCCCCTAAAGCCTCATGCAGTCATGGGGTGGCTTCTGGAGTTTGTGACTGATTATTTTGGGTGTGGGTGCTACATCTGCCCTGGGGAAGGTAATCTGCATTACACTGTATGGAGGGGAGAGAGGCTTTCTAGAAGCTGCAGCTGCTGCCCCTCACTTTGCTCTTTGCTCTTTGCGGCCACCATCAACAACTGCTCTGCACCATGTGCAACTCTTGTCTTGGAGCCAGCTGAGAATGGAGTAAAACCTTCACTAACTGTGAGCTAATTAAACATTTCTTTCCTTAATTCTGAGTTTTGGGTATTTTGTCCCAGTGATGAGAGAAAAGTAACTGAGACAATTATATACATGTGCCAACTCCCCACAATGAATCTAATCATTATGCATTGCAAACATACACTGGTAAAAAAAAAGTTGAGAAAAGGAAATAAATGTGAGACATGTACATATATAGGAGGGAAGCATCAGGTTTATTAAGATTGCAAAAAGCCAGCTGAATCACCTAAAACAATGGAGCAGTAGAATGTATAATCTTAATCTCTGTTAATCAATGGTGGTACAATGCTTGCATAAATCATTAGAATATATTTTCATTCATGCTAATAAATTTATTGATATTTCACAGAAATGCAGATTTGCAATTTAGGTTTTAATATCTAGTTCCATTTAAATTATATAGCCCTTATAATTGGGTGCTTTGAAAAATAGAAAATTAAAATTAATTCAGTTAAATTTAAACAAAACTGAAGGTAGAAATTGTTATAGATGAATAATAGTAAATGGGCTGTTCTGAGATAAAGAATGCTATCTTCCTTTGATTAATAAAATAATCCATTTAATATTGTTTAGAAGTATGTTACTACCTGTATCTTACTCACTTTAGACATTTGAAAACATACAATAAATCAAAAAATCAGTCAATGTATTAATAACAATAATAATCTATTTCTAATATTGCAGTGATAGTTACTTTAAATTCATGTCAACTATCATACTTCTGTACAGGGCATCCTTCTAGTCTTGGTCACTTTCCAATTGCTGTGACACAACACCCAACACCCATAAGGCTGGGGTGGAAAGGTCTCTTTCAGATCAAAGTTTGTAGATGATTTTGTCAGTAGTCACCTGGTTCCAAGGTCGGATGACATGGCAGAGGAATGGAGGAGAAGCAGCTCATGGCTACAGGCAGAAGATAGGGAGCCATACACCTGTCATCTTTCTGTTACTTTCTGTTTCCTTCAGGCTACCAGCCTGGAAGTCAGTGTCACCTGCACCTAGAGTACAGCTTGTGCTATTCACATCCAGAACTATGTTAAGCCAATTGGGTGACCCTACCCTTAGTCCCAGCATCACACACTCCAGATCCAGCCATCTCTGAAAGCCTCGCCTGTCAGAGCATACGGCTTAGGAGGGACATCCAGGTAGCAGCCATCACAAGTGCCTTCTGGAGACTTTTTTTATAGTTTTTAAATATATCTGATTTTGAATTTGTTTTACATAGTTTGATTTATGCCTCTACCCCATTTGTTTAAATGCACATTTTCAGTGTCAACAGTTAGAATTTTATGAATACGTGTTAATTCTGTAGCAAAACTCATTTTAAGCAATGCTTATGCAAACTATTGATTAGGTTTTAGCTCTCCATCCATCGACTATATAAACGGAGGCAACTCTGAATGTTAAGTGTCATTCCTTTGCAACTGTAGTCCTACCTTACATATTCTTTGAAAAATGATTAATTATGTGTACTATCAGTTCTGTTTATTAAAATACCATTTTGTGTTACTATAGTGGAAAAATGAATGTGGAGATATCAAAGCCTGATCATTTTAAAGACAAGTGTAATTCTTAGACCTTTCCTGCCAATATGGGCAATTTGATACTGTAGCCATGAATGCCTTTATTGGAGTGGGTCTTCAAGGAAAAAAAATAGAATATTTTATTTTTTTGAGACAGGATCTTGAACCTGCTGAATAGCTCAATCTGTTCTTAAACTGTTGAGAATCCTCCTGCATCATCCTCCCAAGATAGAACTACTGGAGTGCAATACCATGCCTGGATTATTTTGTTTTATATATGGAAATAGTAGAATTAGTGAAATATACGATTTTTGAACATTCTGTTTTGATATACTGCTTAGAATACACTACACGAAAGTAAATCTGTTTGTTAGCTTCATAAAAACACTCATTTATCTTTCAAATGCTTGAACCTTAAATATATACTCTCATTCATTTTAAAATATATCATCACATTCTTTATGAAACATCTAGACAATCAGAAGCCAAGAATGCCAGCGTGATCCTTTAGTTTTTCCTCTGTCTTTGGGAGTGTTTCCAAGATTCTTATAGTTCAACAAATCACAAAGTGGAAAAATAACCCTTCCTATCTTGTACTTGAAGAATTAATTTTGAAAATCTTCATCAGAAAATAAAACTTAAGTTAATTCTATGGCATACAGAGCTATGTGTGTTTTTTGAGAACCATATAGAAATTGGTCTAAAGTCTCTCACATGATCAGGAGTAATGAGTAAAAGAACATTTCCATGAATTGTATCTCAAAGTCTACTTACATAGGTGTACAGTTTTTAAAATACTTGGGCATTCTCCCCCTTACAAAAACTTTCGCATCTTTGGAGTTTTTAAGGTTAGAATTTTCAGGCGACTTCTTTTCATTTTCTTTTTCAGGAAATGTATGCAAGAAGAGTTCTGAGTTTATACTGTTCCACTCTGCTGTGATTAAACAAGACACTGCTGTGTTTTGTAAGTACAACTGTTTTTATCTTAAAGAAGATTTTCTGTTTTAGAAAGCCACATTTTTATTTAGAATTAAGCTAAATGTTGTAGAAATGGAAGACTTAGTCAATTTTATTTTTTACCTAAATTTTGCTTTATCTCAATTTTAGTCAATTTAGGTAAACAGTGAAAAGCATTTATTTGTTAGAGTAACTGTTTTCCTGGGTCCATTCACCAATATTTTAATGCCTTGTGTTAAGAAGCTTACCAGAGGCTAGAGAGATAGTTTGGCAGTCTAAGCGCCTGCCTGAGAAGTCGAAGGATCTGGGTTCGATACCCGGTACCACATGTCATGCTGGCCCTGGTACACTGGGTGTGGCATGCCAGCCACCAAAACCAGGCATGGTGGTGCACACCTGTAATCCCATCCCAGGCTGAGACAGGGAGTATCACTATGGGTCTGAGATAGGTAGCGAGACCTTGTACCTAATAAATAAATAAATAAATAATAAATAAGTGCAAGCATATCAGTTGGTGAGCTACTTTAAAGATACTATACTGTTAGCAGTATCTTTCTGACCTGGGTAAACATCTTGGTATTATGATGTTCTCTGTGTTATTGAGTGTACACTTTCATCTGCAGAAGCTGCCCTATGTGGCTTCATTGAGACAATCAAATACTATCTTCAGCAAAGAGTAAATTCACATTGGTATTCATAAAATTATACTTTACTATCAAGGGCTATGATATCCATCACAGATATGCATTTCATATCTTTGAAGTATTAGAATCTTGGTTCTCATTTATTTCCCATGTTATGAAGCAAACATACAAACGATGTTATGTGGGGCATAATGAATGACACAAACTTGAATGTTTGCTCAACATTCCAATTCGCAACCCTTTTAGCTGTCTTGAAGTTGAGATTGGGCTATTCATAATTTCTTCAACACAGTATAAAGAAAATAGATTTCCTTCTCTTTTCCAAGCTGCCTCTTATGCTGAGATAAAATTGTCTCTTTGACCCTGATTAGTTTTAATGACAGACCCAACAAGTTGAGAGAATGTAATGTGTGTTATTTATTTTAACATTTGCAAGCATTTTTTGGCTTTTTATTTATGCAAGCTTTTCTCACTACACAAGAGAAAGAATTACGTTATACTGCCTCATAATAAGTGGATGGGCAAATCAACTAGATGAAAAATAGATTTACAGTTCTGATTCAGTGCCAATCTAGTCACTTCATGTGCTCTTCGTTGAGTTACTTCTGCACCCTGGTATTTTTAAACAACTAATTTGGAGCATGGTTCCTTTAGTAGTACACTAAAAGGTCAAACATATTTCACAAACCTATCTAAGTAATGTGGAAGGCATAAATCATTACAAAAAAGATTTTGAAATTGGAGAATAACATACAAAAAGAAGGGAAATTATATAAATATCTACATTTTAAATTTAGGCTGTACCCCACTAATTCTGTTTTTCAAAGTTTCTTCATTTAAATCATTATTTTTTTCTAAGAACATCTGAATTTTTACAGTAAGACACTGAATTTAAAAAATTTGACTTTTTATTTCTATGAAATAATAATTTGTTTATAGATGTATCTGTTACTTAAATTCTACAACATTTTCAAATTACCAAATAGAAACAATATAAAAATGACTTTATATAATTTAATATTAGTAAGAATTATTTGTTGAATGCTTATAATGTATGACACCTTATGCATAAAATATTACAAAGGAATCAGGGGTAGGACTTGACCTGCACAGTTACATCAGTGGCAAAGAGACATTTTATATTAGAATTTCACAAAAATCTTCTCTTGCCTCTTTACTATATACACTCTCTACAGCTCTAAGAAATCTATGCTGGGAATCATGTAAATACCATCAAAGGTTTGATGAGTAAAATACAAAAATAGATTTTTTAGGAGCAGAGGAAATATGTTTTTGGTTTTGGTCATGTTTTCTTATTTCCTTGGAGCATTTATGATCTGGCCACCTAAGGAAGAATTTCAAATATATGAAAAAGATGTAAGAAAAAAATAGTTTTCATTAGGCTTTTCAATATAGTGTCTTTAAAAAAACTTAAGAAAATAAGACTATTACATCTAAAAAAGACCAGAATGAGAAAGTATAATAAATTAGACACACAAGCTTAAATATCACATAGTTTTTCTTATATGAGAAGCCTAAATTATAAATAAAGAACAACATAGAGGGTGGATAATAGGAAGTCAGGTGGATCTTTCACAATTGGGAAGGGGATCCAGATACAGAGGAAGGAAGGTAGGAGGGGAGGGAAAGAAAGGTGACAGGGCTTGGAGATCTGCTCCATGCACGCAGCAGCTCCACATGGGGAACACAAACACCATGTGCTGTAAACATTCCAATGCACTAATGGGAAAAATTGAAAATGACGTGAATAAATGAAAACAAGTGAGATAACATTCTTCATTTGTATGATGAGGTTTTATACAAAAGGGTGACAGTTTATTTTGTAGTGATTTTAAAAATATAATAAACCCAAACAGTTATCTGTGTGGATGACCAAGCTGTAAGAATTAATGCAACACTGAGATTCCATCTCACTCAAGAAAGAATGGCTGTCATCAAGAAACCAACCAATAACATACTGGAGGGGTTGTGGGAAAAATGGAACCCTTCTCCACTGTTGGTGGAAGTGTACACTGGTGCAACCACTGTTGCAATCAGTGTGGAGCTTCCTCAAAAATTAGGATTTGAAGTCCCATTTGACATAGTGATTCCCCTTCTAGGTATCTTCCAGAAGAAATAAGAACATCATACCACAGCTTTATTGTCACATCTCCATTTAAAGAAGCACAATTTGTAATAGCCAAATCTTGGAAACAATAAAATGTACATCAACTGAGAAGTGGATAAAACAGATTTGAATTTTTATACAATGGAGTACTACTCTGTCATAAAGGACACACTTAGATATTTCTAAGTAAATGGATGCAACTTTAGTGAAATAAATTGGATTTACATTTTTAAACATCTCATTGTCTTGCTGGTGTGAGAAACTGAAAGGGTAAATAAATACTAAATGTACAATAGATACTGTAAAATTAGAAGAAATTGTTAAAAATGGAAGAGGAAGTAGTGTGGGGCAAGGGGAGAAATGATAAGGATAAAATGGAAACAAAGTTCTACAAATATGGTGGGAAAGAAGGTTTGAACAGAGAGGAGAGAGGATTGGGGGAAAGGGGATGAAAATATACCACGTACAGGTACAAATTCCTTATAATGAATATAATCATTATATGTATTTAAGATATATTAATAAACTTCATGTAAAAAAGAATTTTAAAGCAGTAGTATAACTAAAGATAAAACTTTATAAAGTCCTTATTTTAAAAAACATGAATTGTAAAACAGATCTTTTCTTGAAGGGAGGTGATATCAGGGGAAATAAGATATTAATTAATTCAACATAAATGTTAAAACCTAAGATCCAGGAGCATGAATTAGTTACTGCTTTAAATTCTGTTAGTAGGTGATCAGCATCAGCCCCTCAATCCACACTGGTTTTCCTTTTCTGAAATCATACACAGGCGGAATAATTCACTGCACAGCCATGGTCCCAGGGCATTTACTGGCCTGTCTGCTCTCCGTAATGGAATTCATAGAGTACTTTCTAAAGATTTAATGATGATCAAAGTGGACCTTCTGCTTTTAGACTGAGAACTACTCTGAGAGCCAGATTGATTTCTGCCAGTTACAATTCAGCTAAATAAATGGTTGGATAAACATTAAAAAAAAAAAAAAACCCAAAAAAACTGTGTGTCTTCTTTTTAAGATGATGCATTAATTAATGAATCAATTAATTTGATACAGGGTCTCACTACACAGTTCAGACTTATAGTGATCCTCTTGTCTCAGCCTCCCCAGGGGCTGAGATTACAGGCATATGTCACCATCCCTGGTTCTGGTGGCTAGCTTGACACAGAGCCGGTGCTGCATGTGTGCCAGGGATCCAACCTGGGTCCTTATTCTTGCCAGGTGGGCACTTAGACTGCTGAGCTATCTCCCAAGCCCCACACCAGTCTTCTTGCCCTTCATTTATGGTATGCCTGTAAGAGAAGAGTATAACTTATAAGGCAATAAATTTTTAGTTGTCACTTAAAAAGCAACATTTTTTTCTGGTGTTTTAGATAAGTAATGGATTTAGTGAAGAAATTAAATACCTTCTAATTTATTGTAATTATTGTAAAATCTTTTTTCTAAAAAAAAACTTTGCAGAGCTTAAACTAACATGATATTTTTCTTTTTTATTTAAATTAACAAGTTGAATCAAATGAGTACTTAGGCTGAGAACTCTGGGGAATAAAAGAAAAATGCAAAATATGGTTGTTGTTCTACTTTTTCTTGATTCTCCATTTCTACAGTCTCACTCTGGAGAAAAATCATTTGTTTATAAATTGTGTATAAAATAGTCAGAAAAAATATAAAATATGTTGTAACTCCATGTCTGGTATATACAATATTTTAAGTCTATCCTTTGTAATATGTCATACATGTCAAACATACAGAAAACAATGAATGAAGCACAGCAGGTATTCACAGACCCAGTACAATTAAATTTGAGAAATGAGATGTAGATAGAGCTTAGATTGAGTCTGAAGGAGTTGTAGACATTATCATAGGCAGGATAAAGAATAACAAGCTTGATTTAGAACTTTTTATGTGATGATATGTGCCAGATTTGAAGATTTTGGGAAGAATTCTATGAAATGAGTGAGAGGATCAGTTATAAAGATGAGTTTGATCTAAAACAAGAAAGGTCTTAATTTCAAAGGTGAGAAGTCTGTTCTTTATTTACATGTTGAAACAGGCAGAAAAGATACCTCAGTGAGATGCTATCTTGTCAATTCCTGAATAGTAAATATAGGGGAAAATGAGAAAAGAAGCAAATATTCTGGCAAATTTAGACTCTCAAAAAGACAAAAATGTTTGATGAATGGAAATGAAAAAAGGACAGAGGACAAGTGGCTGT